ACCGAAGAATTGATGCTTTTGAACTGTGCTGTTGGAGAGGACTCTTGAGAGTCCCTTGGACTGCAAGGAGATCCAACCAGTCTATCTTCAAGGAGATCAGTCCTGGGTGTTCATTGGAAGGACTGATGCTGAAGCTGAAACTCCAATACTTTGGCCACCTCATGCGAAGAGTTGATTCATTGGAAAAGACCCTGATGCTGGGAGGGATTGGGGGCAGGAGGAGAAGGGGATGACAGAGGATGAGATGGCTGGATGGCATCACCGACTCGATGGACATGAGTTTGAGTAAACTCCAGGAGTTGGTGATGGACAGGGAGGCCTGGCGTGCTGCGATTCACGGGGTCGCAGACAGTTGGACACGACTGAGTGACTGAACTGAACTGAACTGAAAGCAAGTGTCAGACACCCCTTGCCCTAAAAGCAAAGTATAAACTAGGAGTATCCATGTGTCTGCACGAGTTCCTGGGTTGGGCAGCCACATGCCAACCAATGGAAACATCAAGGAATTCCTGCTACCTGTTGCCTCTACCAGGTACCAAGAATAACTAGGGCTGAGGAAGCAGCTTCATCTTCACCAGAAATAAGTAGAGATCTTGGACACATGCAGAAACCTGCTAACTCAGAGGGGCCAGGACAGGTACAGGTCTTGAAATATACATGTGGTTCTCCTATGGGAGTTTTGTTTTCAGCTGCTCTGGACAGGAGGGTATTTGAGGGTCACCCCTGGGACCTGGAATTTTCACCCAACTTAAAGCCTAAGGTTAGGAAGGTAGATCTCCTTATATCTCCTGAGCAGGCAGCATCCCCTGGAAGCAACAAAGGCAAAGAACTGAAGCTTTGCCTGGAGATGGATGGGGGTGGGGAAGGGGGGTGATGGGGCAGGGGAGGCAGAAACACCAGACCGCTCGCTCTGCAGAAATGGCAGGGTGGCAGCAGAAAGAAAGACCTGCGGACGGACTTCCCTGGTGGTCCAGTGGTTAAGAATCTGCCTTCCAATGCAGGTGACAAGGGTTAGATCCGTGGTCAGGGAACTAAGATCCCACATGCCTCAGAGCAACTAAGCCCACGTGCCACAACTACTGAGCCTGCATGCCCCAGAGCCTGCGAGCTACAACGAAAGATCCCGATGCAGCCAAATAAATAAAATAGAAAAGAAAATAAACTCTACAGAGAGAGGATGCCTCTAAGCACAGTGCAATGGCCACAGGCACACAACTCTTTTCCCCAAGGCCAATGAACAATAATAGAGAAGAAAGTAAAAAGGGATCAATTCTTCTTACAGGAGATTAGGGAAGGAGCAAGCAGCAGACAAGAGATTTCAACAACTTTTGGAAATAAAGAAAGCCGAATGATCAGAGAGGAGGGTCCTCAGGGGAGGTGAGTTACACAACCCATAGGTACGTGCAGGCATCAGGGACCACCGAGGCTGGCACGAGGTGGGGGATGGAAAGCTGGGCTGAAAGTCTGAACCTAGCTGTTGGAACCTGGGTTCCCCTGCCAGCGGCCATCTGCTCCTCTAAGGGATCACACCTTCCAAGTCTCTTCTAGAGATTCTACCCGTAAAGGCTGAGGGGCCAGGGAGGGGGCACAGCAGTCAAGCTGAGGTGTGGGCTGAAACGCAGGAACAGGTGAGGTCTCCAACTCAGCCGTGAGACCGCCATCCTGGCTGGCTCTCAGACACTCCACCAGCCCTGCAGAGGCTGGGGAATTCTTCCCTGGAAACCAGACGGGCTCCAGAAAAGAGACTTTGCCCTCTATGTTTGAGGGTCACCGCAGGCGAAAAAGTGAGCTTGCAGTCTGGCCCCACGATGGGAAACCCTAGAGTCAGACCTGAGGCGCTAACAGCTCCCATGCGTACTTCCAACACATCACTGTTTTCAACCCCTGCTCCTGCTCCGCTGGTACCCACACACGTGGAGCCCAAACTCCACAGGCCCAGACAGCAGGAAGTGCTCTGGACTCTTCCTCTTCTTACTGTCCTCACTCATTCTCATCAGAATTCCCCTCTGCAGATGCATAGACTTAAAAATCCTGTAATCTGTTGAGTCTGTCTTCCTAGAATCTATATCCCCTTTCCATCTTGAGATATGTGCTGTGTGTGTATAAAAATACATGTTTCCTAGTTTCATTAGAGATGAAGACCTATTTCCTATTTCTTCTATCCTTAGTCATTTTCAGATGATTTCCAAGACCCACTTTTATACCATCTTAAAACTGAATGATCAAATGACCATATCTCTAAAATGCAGCTTTTAAAGGAAAAAAAAAGTGACTTTAAAATCACCATGCAAAAAAATAAAAATAAAAAATAAAATCACCATGCATAGTAAAATTGCACTCTTAAATGGATCAACTTGGGTTAAAAAGGCAATCATTTTTTCTTCTTTTTTTAATTTTTTGGCCACACCCCACAGCCTGTGGAATCCACTTCCCTGACCAGGGATCAAACCTTCACCCCTGCGTCAGCAGCATGAGGCCTTAACCACTAGACCATCAGGGAAATCCCAAGCCAATCATTTCTATTGTCATAATACTCATTAAATGTCATAAAAAACCACTATCAGTCCTTCAGTGTCAATAGCTGTCCACTAAGATACACTTCTTCAAAAATTCACACTGCAACTAACCACTGTGTAAAAACCCAAATGTACCTCGTACGACTTAGTTTCCAAGTCTTTAATGTAGTCCTCAGCATCGGGCAGGCTCTTGTAATAAGCCATGTTTCTCTTCATCATCTCGTCATCAGGATGCTTCAGTAGAAAGGTGTGAGCTGCTGCGATGGCTTTCGGAAGGTTATTTGCCTAAAGTACAGAGAGGAGAGACAAGAGCTACTCAGTGGGTGGTGAGCGTCATTTCTATAGAACAAGAACGTCTGTTCAGTCCTTAGGCAATTTTGTGTTCCTACACAATGTTTCCAGCTAAGGGCTCAGTGATTTCCAAGGCCCAGCATACCTGGTCCAGGCTCTCTGCATGAGTGTTCATTCCCTGTGGGTGATCGATGTACCCTCTGTGCCTGCCCCGATCTACTCTGCCATCTCCACCCTCCCCTGCCCAGGAGGATGGCATATGGGCTGTCCCTGTGGGCTCCCTTGCCCTCCAGCTTCCAGTGGGTTCAGCCCCAACAAGGGACTGAAGGAAGGGAACAGAATAAGGCTGGTATGTTTTTGTCCTGGCTCCTTCCCTGCAAGGTCACTCCCTTAATTGAAGGTCACAGCCCTTCTCAGTGGAGAGTCTCTCCATCTAGTCTCTCTCCATCCATGTTACCCCTTCTGGCCTGGGAGGTGGGTCACGTCCCACTGTCACCAGCTTTTCTAAGTAACCGCCTTATTCGTTAAGTGTTCCACCAGTTACCCCATATGACTATATCACATCTTTTCTGCCAGAACCTTGATAGATAGATCAGTATTTTCCTGGGTCTCTCACAGAACCTCTGTTTCATCTTCTCGAGGACCCCCACCACCTCCTCATTCACTCATCCATTCACTCAGCAAATATTTGTTGAGAGTCTCTGCAGGATAGGTGCTGTTCTAGAAAGTGAGTCTTAGGGGGTTGGGAGGAAGATCCCTGCCTTTACATGCAAGTGAGTCCTCCCTATCTCCACAACCTCAATCAAGAGACTTTATATGAAAGTGAAAGTCACTCAGTCATGTGCGAGTCCTGGCGACCCCATGGACTATATAGTCCATGGAATTCTCCAGGCCAGAATACTGGAATGGGTAGCCTTCTCCAGGGTATCTTCCCAACCCAGGGATCGAACCCAGGTCTCCTGCCTTGCAGGTGGATTCTTTACTAGCTGAACCACGAGGGAAGCCCAAGAATACTGGAGTGGGTAGCCTATCCCTTCTCCAAGGGAACTTCCCAACCCACGAATCGAACCGGGGTCCACTGCATTGCAGGGAGATTCTTTACCAGCTGAGTTATCAAGGTATATATTTATCAGGGTATATATGTATATATATATTTATTTAATTAACTTATTTGGCTGTGCTGGGTCTTAGTTGCAGCATGTGGGGGTCTAGTTTCCTAACCAGGGATCAAACCCAGGCTCTCTATATTGGGAGCGAGGAGTCTTAACTACTGGACCACGAGCCTCTATTACATCAGCCTGTCTTCTGCATTCCTGGCACCTGGCAGAGTTCCTAGGACAAGGAAGGACTCGGTAAGTACCAGTGACTTGGACAGGACATCACCACTACATATTTTCAGGAAATTAATTCATGTTTCCCTCTCTTTTCCCCTCTCTCCTCCCCATTCGGTGGTGATCAGCTGATTCTGAGTCTCACTGCCTCAGGGGAAGTCAGGACACAGAAGTATGACCAAGGCCCTTGTACTCCTTAGAGAACTTGGCAAACATGTGAAGAAGAGGAAATCAAGAGAGGGAACTGCAGGAAGAAGCTGACTGGCCTGGAAGAAGAAGACAGAGGAAGGATTTCCCTGTCAGTTCAGGACCCGAGGTTCCACTGAAGGGGATATGGGTTCAATCCCTGGCTGGGGAACTAAGATCCAGCATGCCATGCCGCATGGCCAAAAAAAAAAAAAAACCAAGGAGAAAGAGGAATCTTCTAGGCTAGAAAAAACTCCCTCCTTGGGGTCTGCAGGGGCAGCAAGGTCTGTGGCCCTTGATCCTCAGGTTTGGTACCTGCAGGCAGAGCCCAGAAGTCTTCAGGGAAGAATGAGGTGGCGTGGGGTGAGTGAAAAGGGGCACAGAACGGATAGGGACACCTCCCGTGTGGACACGCGGGCAGCAAACAGAGGGCCCCTCCCCCGCCATGGATGTCATGGCCCCTCCATGCCCTGACATCACAGCAGAACCTGGGGGACGGAGGGGGGGACCAATACATGTGCAGGGAGACTCCTTCAGCCAATCCAGAGGGACTCTCAGGGGCGGGAATTAGGGAATTCTGTTTGGGGAGAGAAAGGAATATTTGGCACGGTCTGGATTTCTGAGAATCAAAGGGCAGCAAGTAGCCTGGGCAGAAACTGCCCCAGAAACACGAGCCTAGTCATCTGGAGATAATGGCAGAGGCTGCCCTGGAGTGGTGGCTGGTGATAAGGACAGACTTCCAGAAGTCAGTGCTGATGTCTGAGGAATGCCAACTAGTGCCTGGAGTGGGACTGTCTCCCTCGGCCCATTCCCCCCCGGCCCCCTGGCCCCCTGGCCTCCTCTCCGGCCCCTCCCTTCCCCCAACCCCCAGACCCCTGTGGAAGAGCGTAGCCCTAACCACGTGACCACCGTGGAATTCCGTTACTGACTTTGATTGTCACAAGACCTGTAAAGGGTTTTGAAGAGAAGTTATGAATTTCCTAGCGTTTGCGGATGCCACGATGGACGAAACCCCTACCTTCCGGTCACCCTGAATTAAATGTTCCTCCCCTTTTGCCTCGTTTCATATTCATCCATATTTTAAAGAAATCAGAGCTTCCATTATTCTCCAGGTTTAAAAATAAAACGTTTCCCCCTTGATTATATGACTCAAATTTGACTCAGACTGTATATGCCAAAAGCTCTACAAAAAAAGGATTAATGAGTCTTTTTCAGCGTAAAAATATAGTGCTTGTATGAGTCAGCCATCATTTCTGAGTCCCGGAAATGTATTCATCTCATCCCTGGTCTATTTTAAAACTGTTTTTGTTTGTTTGTTTGTTTGTTTATTGCTAGGACAAACATTCACAAATGTGATACTTTATATAAAGCTGTAGCAGGCATAGAAATAACCCAGTTTTTCTCCTATTTAGGGTTTTGTGCTATTTTATGACCCACATGAATGTAACATACACGTGGACCCGTTTCAGAGAAATATGAAAAGCAGATCTTGCAGCCCAAAGACACAGAGTTTACCAAATCGTTTTCCAATAAAGTGGAAACAGCTTTAAGAGGGCTGTCTTGGTAAAACCCATGGAAGACGTGCCAAGCTAAAGCCTCTTTATCCAGTCAACAGGGAATTCAGCCCATTCTTAAAACCTCGGGGTCCCCCGGGTAAGGACGTAGAGGGGAGACAACTGCAACCTGTGGCTATTTTTAGCCAGCAATCCCAGACTGGAATGCAAGCCGCCACAGAAAGGAGGAAGACAGGCGCGTTACACTGTAGATGAAAGCCAGCGGAGAGCGCCGGCCCCGACGAATCAGGCGCTCAGGTTCTCCTCCTCCAGGCAGGGAAGTGTCCTTCCAAGGAGCCCCGCCCTTTTCTGGCCCTAAGTTCCCCTTTAAAAGAGACTGGTCGGCCCCGCAGGTCTTCTTCCGCCCTACTCACTTGAGAAAAGGGATTTTGATGGTATCTACCAAAAACGGAAGTCTGTCTTCAAATAACACTGTGCTAGTCGTTAGATATACATCCTCTGCCTCAGAACCACCCTTCAAGTATTTTTCATCTTTATCTATGAAATAGAATACGGGGAAGAGGATTTGAAGGCCTCCCTTAGCGACGCTAAGTGCGAGAGAACTAGGTCGAGAAGGCGGTGGGACCGGACCCAGGACACAGGCACACCAGGCAGGGGTCTAGGGGCGGGCCTAGGGGCGGGGCCTATGCGTGGGCGGGGCGGGGCCTAGGCGTAGGGCGGGGCGAGAGGACTTGCCTTGAAGTAGGCGAACTGCAGGAACTTGTAGGGCTCTCGGCGCTGGAAGTCCGCCAGTACTTCGCGGCTGGGCTGCGACTGGCGGAAGGCCGGCAGGCCCTGCTTGCAGCGTTTGAGGCAGTGCGCGCGGCGCAGCAGGCCCCCGAAGAGGCGCAACTCCGGGTGGCGCGCGAGGCCGGCGGCGGGCTCGGGCTGCGGCGCCGCGCTGCAGTTGCGGTGGCAGAAGGCCTCGCTGTCTCGTAGCAGGCGGTGCAGCCGCAGGCTGATCTCCAAGTAGCCCACGCTCTCCGCCCAGTGCTCGCTGCTGTACTGGTCCAGCGCGTGCCGGTAGGCCGACTCGAGCGGCATCAGCTCGTCCCGCGGGAAGCTGCGGAAGCTGTAGCGCTCGTACTGGGCGCGCCCTGAGGGCAGCGTGCACACCGCACACAGCAGCGCCAGCAGCGCCGCGGCCGCCCGGCGCCCCGGCTCCATCGCTCCCGGCGGAAGGAAGGAAAGAGAGGAGAAAGAAGGAAAGGAAAAGGGAGCCGAACGCTTAAGAGGCGGAGACGCCAGCCTCAGGCCCGCCCCGTCCGGCCGCCCCTCCCTACCCAGCCGGGGGGTCCGGGCGAAGCTGCCCGTACGGGGAGGGTGTCCTAGGGAGGCGCGCTGCCCTCTAGTTTCTGCGTGTCTAACCCGTGATCCCCGGCTCCGCTGATTGCTCCTTTAGAGAAGGCGGCCTGGAAGCCAGACGCGGCCCTGATGGATCAGCGCTGCTTAGACTTTAGAATCATTTAGAGGACTTTCGAAAAACGCAGATTCACAAGTGACTCCAGAGTTTCTCTTTCACCAAATCTGGCTGAGATGGGGATCTGAGGGTTTGCAGCTCTAACCAGCACCCTAGTGAGGCTAATGCTGCGGGTCCACGGCCTACACTTTGATGACCGCAAACGACCTTACATTTCAGTGAGAGAGAGGGAGTGCATATATAAAATTAATAAGGATGTCGGTGGCACTTTGTAAACTATTGAGCTAATCAAGTTGAAGATGCACACACCTTATGATTGCGATTCCACGCTTCAGAATACGCTCGAAAAACGTGTATGTGTGCATCAAAAGATGTGGATGAAATGTTAAAGGCAGTACTGTTATTTAATTATTATTAATTTTTTTGGCCGCACCGCGCGACTTTCAGGGATCTTAGTTCCCTGACCACAGAGCACACCCGTCCCAGCAGTGGGAGCGCCAAGTCCTAACCAGTGCACCGCCAGTGATTAAGTGCCAGCATTGTAATTTTAATTACTTAAATTTTTTATTTTTAAATAATTTACAAGAAACTGCAAGGATAGTACATACAACTCCTATATATCCTTTATACACATTCACAAATGAATAACTTATGCCACATTTCTTTTTCTGAATCATTTGAGAGAAGATTGCATACATCAGGCCACTTACCCTTTAATCTTTAAGTATGTATGTCCTAGGAACCGAAACTGTGTGTGTGCTCAGTCATGTTTGACTCTTTGCAATCCCATGGACTGTAGCCTGCCAGGCTCCTCTGTCGGTAGGATTCTCAAGGCAAGACTATTGGAGTGGGTTTGCCATTTCCTTCTCCAGGGGATCTTCCCGACCCAGGAATTGAACCCGTGTCTCCTGCATCGGCAGGTGGATTCTTTACCACTGCCCCACCTGGCAACTAAACTACAATGCTCAAATTCATTAATGATCAAATTCACTAATCTATATCCCCTATTCCAGTTTTGTCAACTAATAATGTTTTTTACGGGCTGCCGTCGTGGCTCCACAGTAAAGACTCTGCCTGCAATGCAGGAGTTGGAGATGCCCTGGTGGCTCAGTGGTTAAAAAAAAAAATCTGCCTCCCAATGCGAGACATAAGGGAGGTGGATTCAATCCCAACTGTTGTTGTTTCGACTAAACAACAACAACAGTGTCTTGTATAGCACGTTCTCCCCCTGGGCAAGAAACAGTCCAATATCATGTATTGTATCTAGTTGTTTCTTCTAATGTTCCAGAATCTGAACCTTCAGATTTTATTGTTATGCTATTGACACTAAGAGTACGGGTCGAAACAATAGTGAGATCCACCACACGCCTATTAGAATGGCCAAAATTCAAAATACTGACAGCAGCAAATGCTGACAAGGATGCAGAGCAACAAGAACTCTGTTCATTGCTGGTGGGAATGTGAAATGGTAGAGTCACTTTGGAAAGACAGTCTGGCAGTTTCTACCAAACTAAACATACCCTGCCATACCACCCAGCAAAATTAGATTCACTGGTATTGACTGAAATAAGGTGAAAATGTCTATCCATACAGAAACCTACACATGAATGTTTACAGCAGCTTTTTTTACATAATGGCTAAAACTTGGAAGCAAACAAGATGTCCTTCAATGGGTGAATGAATGAACTGTGGTACATTCACATCCAGACAATGGAATATTACTCAGCACTAAAGAAATTAGCTATCATGCCACAAAAAGACATGGAGGAAACTTAAATACATTTTACTACATAAAAGAAGGTTACATATGAAAAGACTATATACTGTATGATTCTAACTATATATGACGTTATGTTTGGGGGTTTTATTTATTTGGCTTTTTTCTGTTGGGTACACCACACTGCTTGTGAGATCTTAGCTCCCCAACCAGGGATTGAACCTGGGCCCTCGGCAGTGAGAATGTGGAGTCCTAACCAACGGACCAGAAGGGAATTCCCCCAACTATGTGACATTCTGGAAAAGGCAAAACTTTGAGAACAGTAAAAGGATCACTGATTGCCAGGTGTTACGGGGAGACAGGAAGAAACAGGCACAGCACAGAGGATTTTAGGGCAGCGAAAGTATTCTGTGTGATACTATAATGATGGATAGATATCATACATTTCTCAAAACCCAAAGAATATGCAGTATCAAGAGTGAACTCTAATGTAAGTCATGGGCTTTGGGTGATTATATTGAGTCAAAGTAGCTTCATTGGTTGTACTAGGTGTGCCTGTCTGGTGTGGGATTCTGATAACGGGAGAGGCTGTGTGTATGCAGTGGTGGAGGGTAGATGGAAAACCTCTATGCCTTTCATTCAACGTTGCTTCAAACCTAAAACTGCTCTAGTCTATTTTTAAAAACAATACAGGGGTCTTCCCTGCTGGCTCAGTGGTAAAGAATCCACCGGCCAATGCAGGAGACACAGGTTCGATTCCTGGTCCCAGAAGTTCCCATGTGCCTCAGAGCAACTAAGCCCATGTGCCACAACTACTGAGCCTGTGCTTTAGAATCTGGGAGCTGCAACTATTGAGCCCACGGGCCGCCTACACCCCATGAGCCTAGAGCCCATGCTCTGCAACAAAAGTCTGAACACTGCAACGAGAGAGTAGCCTCTGCGACAAGAAAAGCCTGCACAGCATGGAAGACCTAGCACAGCCAAAGATAAATAAGATTATTTTTAAGAATACAGGCCACTTATTTTATAAAAAGTCCTCCATTGAGGTTCCTCTGCTGTTTCTTCATGATTAGATTCAGATTAAGGTCTTTGGACTAGAACAGCGCCCAGGCAACAGACTGATACTGGTCTGTGGTCTGTTGGGAACTGGGCCACAACAGGAGGTGAGCGAAGCTTCATCTGTATTTGTAGCCACTCCCCATCACTCTCCCATCACCCCTAGATGGGACCATCTAGTTGCAGGAAAACAAGCTCAGGGCTCCCACTGATTCTACATTATGGTGAGTTGTAGAATTATTTCATTGTCTATCACAATGTAACAATAATAGAAATAAAGTGCACAGTAAATGTAACACACTTGAATCATCCCAAAACCATTCCCCCCACCCACCCTCCCACGCCCCAGTCCATGGAAAAATTGTCTTCCATGAAACTGGTCCCTGGTGCCAAAAAGGTTGGGGACCACTGGACTAGGATACGGTCCTTCTCAGATGTCACTGGAGGAACCCACTGTCAGCCCCTTATCGTTGATGTTAATTGTGATTACCTTGTTAAGGTTATATCCATTTTCTCCACGTCATTTTTTTCTTTGTATTTAATAAGTGTTTTTGGTATGATACAGCAGCACAGTTCCTAATGGCAGAAAGCAGAAATAACCTGTGTAAAAACAAAAGTGCATTTTTGTTGCTTGTTTTTTTAGAGAGAAGATGCACACGTAGGAGAAAATTTTACAGCAGGGAAAAATAAAAGAATTACAGCTATACATAACAACACAGTTTAGCCTTAAAAAGAATGACTCCACTTGTCTAAAGTTTAAAAGTATGCTAAAGCACACAAAATATTATTTAGGAATGCAAGTAACGGAGTCCTACCTCATACAAACAAATACGGTTTTCCCAGCAGTCATGTATGGATGTGAGAGTTAGATTATAAAGAAGGCTGAAAATGAAAGTTGCTCAGTAGTGTCCAACTCTTTGCTATCCTGTGGACTGTATAGTCCTTTCTCCAGGCGGGGATACTAGAGTGGGTAGACTTTCCCTTCTCCAAGGGATCTTCCCAACGCAGGGATCAAACCCAGATCTCCTGCATTGCAGGCAGATTCTTCACCAGCTGAGCCACGAGGGAAGCCCAAGAATACAGGAGTGGGTAGCCTATCCCTTCTCCAGGTGATCTTCCTGACCCGGAATCGAACCAGCGTCTCTACATTGCAGGCGGATTCTTTACCAACTGACCTATCAGGGTGCTTTTGAACTGTGGGGCTGGAGAAGACACTTGAGAGTCGCTTGGATGGCAAAGATCAAACCAGTCAATCCTAAAGGAAATCAACCCTGACTCTGCATTGGAAGGACTGATGCTGAACCTGAAACTCCAATACTTTGGCCACCTGATGCAAAGAGTCGACTCATTGGAACAGACCTTGATGCTGAGAAAGATTGAGGGCAGGAGGAGAAGGGGGCAACAGAGGATGAGATGGTTAGATAGCATCACCAATTCAATGGACAAGAGTTTAAGCAAACTCCAGGAGAAAGGATAAGACAGCCTGGTGTACTGCAGTCCATGGGGTCACAAAGAGTCAGACATGACTGACAGACTGAACAGCAACATACAAACATACAAAATAAAACTATAATGAAAGAGGAACCATAAACAAAACTTTTGGATCATGATTTCCTATAAGGTAGAAGACCCCTCAGGTGACTCAAGTGACAAATTCTCTTTAGTATCATCAATTGATTCATTCTTTCACTATACTATTCAGCACCTACCTTAGACCAGGTCCGGCCCTTGGCAAGGAATGCAAAGATGAATCAGACGTACATCCTTGACTGCAAGGAACTTCCGGTTCAGTAGAAATAAGACATCTATATTTTTTTGCATTTGTTCCATTAACCTATAGTAAACTATTGTGTGACAGGCACTGTATTAAAGAAATATCAACTTGTTCCCTCAAAGTCTTGAGAAGACAGATAAGCAAACCTTTAATTACCCACCATTAGAGCTGGAGAGAGTGTTATGTGGACCCCAAAGAAGGCTGGGTAACTATCTTAGTGATTTCTGGCTGCTATCACAGGCCCA